TGGAGCTGAATTGATTGTTGTTCACTGCAGACCGCCATCTGAACAGTCAAGCGCCACGGGTTTCTGTGCAATCTTATCGGTCTGTGCTGAGAGGTGAAGGCAGACATGCAGAACGGAATTCGGGTCTGGGTTGACTCTTTCCTCACACTGCATGTCCTTGCTCCTGCTCAACCCAGTCTTCAGGCAGGTTGGTGGCTGGGACGTGCAGTGGATCGCAGAGGATTACCACATGGGGATTAAGTGCTTTCTGATGACCCTGGGCCACTTGGCTTCAGAGCTGAGGCATGGGTTCTATGTTTTGTGACTCTCTGAACAAGCATAGTCTGGGGTCTTCCGATTTCTGCGGCCGAGGAAAGACCACTGTGGAGCCTGTCATGACGCCCATGATGAATTATGTGCCTGAGGAGGAGGGCGACTGGTGGGGTGCCTCTCCTGCCGGCTGGAGTTTCTTACAGGATCCAAGCCACTTAGTCTCGGCATTTTCCGGAGAAACACAACTGGCATCCAGGAGGGAACATCACAAAAACTGGAAGGCATTAATACCCGAACTGAATCCATGTGAATGGTGGTGGGCTGTGAAACAGGAATGAAGAAGTGGAGTCCGAACTTGAGCCATACTCCACTGAGGTACCTGCATGGCCCGGTGGGTTCAGCTGAAGAGGCATGCCTTGGGCTTCTCCGATTCCCGGCTGCCGACATCTGTGTGCGTGTGTAGGTTCCTTCACTCTGGAAAATATAAATGTATATATATATATATTTACATAGACCTCTTTGCTCCAGGCAACAGGCATACGGCTCCGTATCTCCTCAGAACTCGCAGTACTTGCAGAATCCACTTTGTCGAACGGACACAGCAGCCTGTGACTCCTCAGGACTTCTCCTACTATTTCATGATGCTGCCACTGGTGCTTCCTGGCTAGATCAAAAGGAGTTCCATGCATCAGGATTGCAAAATGAATCTGATGAAACGCGCGTCTGCAACATGAAAGGTTCAGCTACTCATCCTCCAGTGTGAGCCGGAACACCGAGGGCCTCCAGGCAGATCTCTGGGTAGAGATGAGGTGAGCGGTGCAGTGTGTTCACACAATGGATCACATTGGCCCCGGCATGCAGGGCTTTTGGCGTATGCTGAGCTACGGCACCACGCTCCTTATCCGGCTCGTGAACGTGCACGTGCTCATCGGAGCCCCGTGTCTTGTACATGGGACGCGCTGTGGAGGACTTCTAGGAATGAGGTGCTGAACTGCAAATCAGGTCCTGTCCACGTACGGAGCCATGGAAGCGATGTGTCCCGGATGCAATCAGACTACAAAGTATTTAGCAGCGCTTCGCCCAACAACTGCTGAACCGGTTCCTGCAATGACTGCACGCATGAGGGATACTGAAATACACTGCTGCTTTGGTGTATCCTACGGCAAAGGGCTTGTATCCGAAGGCCACACTCCAAATTGAGACCAGCCCTGGAGACTTCAGCGTGAACCCCCATCTTGTTGTGTGCGGTGTGAGGTCGAAGACGGTTAGCAGCGACGCAAACGTAGAAGAGCGAAACCTCGTGTGCGCAGACCCCCCGGGCCAAGGCTCAAGCTGATAATAAAGCTCTGCTTCAGGCCAGAGGGCATGGGCAACAGCCGCATGAAGCATTGCACGCTTTGAGCAGGGCCTACTTTATGATCCGTTGTCGGCTGCTGCACAGATCTGCACAGACACGTCTGATTCGGGCCCCGAACCACCACTCACTTATCTTGCAGACCCTGGCCAGGGGTGACCGGTTGCCGGACTTCCTGTTCTTGCAGGTTGGCGTTTTCCCGAAATATTTGATGCATCTTGGCGGCGTTTTGTGTTGGAGGGGAGTAGTCAGTGGCGATGCCTTCATAGCTGGGGCTGGCCAAAAGCTTCCAGGTGCTCCTCACCGAAGAGATGAGTTTTTTTACAAATAAAGACATCTGCTAGGTTGCATGGCTCGTGCTTGTGCAAAATTTTCTGATGTGCTGTGGCTGACAGGATAGTGACGATCTTTTTCACCATCTTGGTGTCCGGCGTCTTCTTCGTGACATACGAGGTCTTGCTGAAGAAGCGAGTTGAGGGTAATGCCCAATACAGTCTCTGCGTGCACTGGCTGAAGACGCCCTGGCCAGAGTTGGTAAAGCTGTTTCTCTTTGGTACTAAAACTGTAACCCTAAACCCTAAACCCTTAACCCCAAAACCTGTAACCCTAAAGGCCCTAAACCCTAAAAGCGTCAGACATCTAGTGCCGCCCCTTGCGTTTCATTGCTTGCTGCCCAGGAATCTGATCGGCTTCTCGGCTGCAGCACTCAAAGAAGGCACAAACCCAGAGAGCCCAATACCCCTTAATTAAGGAATATACCTTAATTTATAGGGGCCTTAATATTATGATTTAAGGTATATTCCTTAATTAAGGGGTATTGGGCTCTCTGGGAAAAAGGCTCCGGACCAAAACTTGAGCCAGCATCATGAGCATCATCCGAGGAGTTCGTGTCAGATTTGTTGAGGCCTCCCCTATAAACGTCACGTTTATGTTTTGGTCATTCTTCGCGAGCTAGGTTTACCACTTTCGATCTGATGTGTCGCCGCAAAACTATCCGACCCTGGCCCTCAAGAACAACAGCTACACTCCGCCACTGCAGCGACGAGTCTTCCTGAGAATAACAAATAGTAGTGCCTGTAGAAATATTCGCGTGTTCTCATTCTTTGCAAGGTCTGGCCCTGGGCTCACCGGTCTACTTTGTGATGCTGGGCTATGCCATCTGGAGAGCGGCCCTCATGGTGGCCGTGGCAGAACTTACTTAAGGGCCCGTGCCTTCGCTAGGCGGCTTTCGTGTTGGAGGTTCCAGGACGCACCAACCTTGCATCTGCAGCACAGAAGTTGCACAGAGTTTCTTAAGAGGCTGCGATAGGCTGCGCCTTGCAGCAGTGGATCGGTTAAACTGCCCTGGGCTTGCAACTGTCGGATCTGCACGGGGACCCCGAGCGACCTGCCGCTTGAGCGTCGTCGAAGCCAATGATCTGACAAACTCCCCGGAACCTGGCAAGTCCGAGTTCTTGTGTCGGAAGCAGTGTTGAGACCAATCACTATTCGGCTATTTCATGTCTGTGTTTCTATCGTTCTACATGGTTCTGCTGGCTCTGCTTGTCTCTGCAGTGAATGAAGGTTCTGACACAGCGGTCCTTTGAGTACCACGTGGCGCCCAAGCCGAAGCAGGCACCACGAGACCTTTCAGAGATCCCGGTTAACCTAGCCCTACAATGCCCGCAGTCTCCCTTGAAAGGCTTCGTGTGGCGCGGGATGTGTTCTGTTTTTTTTAGCATTCCTCTTGTGTTGTTTTCCTGCCTGGGCCCTGGAGAGGCCGAGCCGACGCAGAGCTCTCTCGCAGGAGGTTTGGAGGGTAAAAGTCGTAGGTCGTGACTTGTCTTGCCCGGTGTGGCAGTGGCCGGTCGCCCGAAATTCCCCCCTCCCCCCCATTCGGCAGGACACGATCCCAAGATGGTGCCTTGACTATGTCAGAAGACAAACCGTTGCCACAGTATTTTGTGACTTGCGCAGGAAGTAAAGACTAGTCAGTCCTTATGCGCACGAAGATGTACGAAGAGCCTCATGTGTGCAAGGGCTACAGATGGCAAACATGAGCAGCTAAGTGAGTAGTCTGAGTGGGATGGCAGATTGAGATTGTGATCATGGCTGGTACGGGCATGCTGTTAAAGCTTGCTCTAGTGGATCCGAGACGGTCAGCAGGAGAAAAGCAAAACCTTATCCAAGTGTTTGTCCAAGCGCGGAACCTTTAGGCCGAGGCACTTGCGAAGCACTCACACTTTCTTACCAAACCTTTTGACGATTGCCCCTCGAGCATAGATTTTAGATTCTAGCCGAGGCGTAATGTCGCCGCTCCACAATCTCTTGAAACGTCGGCATCTCAGTTCCAAGCTTTCGGGCCGAATGCGCAAGACTTGTGCATTAAACAGAAATGCCTAGGGTCAACCGCCCGCTTTCTCTTGACAGCCGCTAGTTACGCTAGTTTTGGTGATCGACACGACCTCTTCAATGGTACTACGGCTAAGCGCGCTTCCAGTACACATCCCTGTTATCCCCTGAACGTCTCTGTGCTTCCAGTCCCGAGTGAAGATGCTGCATGAATGTCATGAGCACCATCTCCATCGTCATGGCTCAGACTCAAGTGTCCTCCAGGGGAGGAAGCATTGCTAGCTCGTGTCCGGATTTGTTTGGTCTCGCTATCTGCAAGCTCCTCCAAACAAGTTGGGCGACGTCGCAGGTAGTGTGTCCGTGTTCCAAACTGTGAGAGCTGCAGACCAGAAACATGGCCCTGCTAAGGCACCGGCACAGCTCGTGACATGCCAACTGGCTTCTGAGCGGCCGGCAGCTGCAGATGACCAATAAATGTGCAATCACCGCGTAATGTTTTTGGCGGACAAAGGGGGGCTGCATTACAATTCGGCTGTCGCCTCAGCATAGTTGGAGCGGATAGGAAGTCTGTCCAGTGTCAACCTACGTCAAAAATGCACCTATCTAGCGAATCAACTAGTTCCAGTCTACGAAGACTTTACCCAGTTAGTTTTTGCAGGCAAGCAGAACACGATTCAGTAGGTTTTGGGTGCTCCGCAATGCGGAGCAGGACCCTGAGCCCCGGAAGCCTTGTCGCTCAAAAGATGGCAGAGTACGTGTGCTTCATGTGGTAGTGCCAGACGCCCGTTCTTGGATGTCATCCCTACTGCACTTGTATGAGCTGGCTAGCCGTGATGATACGTTTCATTTATGATCCTCATCATTACAACATTCGAGAATCGAAACCGTCACTTTACCAGGGATCCCGATCTAGTAACAGCTGGAATCCTGCCAAGCCCGTCGGTATCTTGCCTCTGCACACCGAACGGCGGTGCAAACCAAGCAGCGGTTCGTCGAGTCCTGTCGCCAGCTCGCCCCACTTCTCACTTCCATGTTCAATGTTGTCCATCGTGCGAGACCACAGGTACTTGGATCTATGTGCCCAGCATGCCGGAGAGCTTCTTTCCAACGTCCTCCGAGCAACCCAGCTGCATGTATGTTTCACGGTGGTGTGCAAGCAGGATTTTTTTGTTGAATCCAGGTCGCACGACTCACTGCCTGACCCGTCAACATGTCAACATCTGTATTCCGCCTTGCTTTCGGATTCTGTCAGCAGCTAGGTTGCGGTGCACAGCTTTGTGAGCGTATCCGGTGGCTGTGAAGTGTACATCTCAGTCTGCAACAAGGTCCATGAAGACGATAGCGGCCAACAAGTTCAGCGGATGTGCTGCAGCCCTGCTCTAGAGACCCTAGGGCATACTGGCAAGATAATTCAGGGAAGGCATCGAAGCGAGCTGTCGCAGGGACCGTAGGATGCTCTACGGTTTATTTATGTTTTGCATTTTCTACATGGTTGGCCAAGACTGGCGACAGGTGCTACCAGCAGCCGGGGGTGGGCATTCTTCATGTGGGCCCTGCACGAGTTTGGGAATGTGGGAAGTGTCAGCGCGTTTGGGATGAGAGCTCCGTTCGGGGCGCCTCTCCCTTCAATCAGTGACTCAGGTTATTTCCGTCCAAGGCTCTATTCAACAGGAGGGTAGGCGCTTCGATGAGGCGGCTAACTTTGGGGGCCGATTTCGGGCAGAAATCTGGCAGATTCTCGCACGGCACCCACTGGCACGGAGGGGCTTCTGAAACAGTCTGCTACACGCTGCACATGTTCCAGGCACGAATGGGCAACGTCCAATCGACAACTCCGCCTGTCATGGACGGACCACGCCTCGTGCTTACCTTCGTGCTGCGATCCATATTGCTGAGGACGGTGTAAGACTCTTGCTTGCGACTCGAATCTTCCGAGGCAAGTGGATGCAACGAGATCTATTCGGGCGTTTCTCTGGTTCCCTACGATGCCTGGGTCCTCGTCGGCTTCAGCCTTTCCAAGGCGAGGCGTGGGTTCATTGGAAGCCCCTTTTCTGACCCTCGGCAGTGCCAGGCGAAGAACAGGGCCAGCATTGTCATGAACGACCAGTTGGCAGTAGCCCAAGAAAAGCGTCAGAAGTGCAGCACAGCTTGGGAGCACCAGAGCGTGTAATTCATGTTCTCCGATCTGAGGTTGTGGACACGCAGCGGGGGATCGGGAACTACGTGCGTCAGGGGCGGTGCCCGACTCGGTGGCAAAGTGCACTCTGAGTCCATTCCCTCTCGCTCATCAAGTCCGTGAAATTTCGCAGACTTTGCGCAGTGGCAGTGCTCATGGCTTCGGGGGCAGGATGCGTAATAATGTGATAGGCTCCCAGCTCCCGTTCATTCGGGACAGCTGCTAAGAGCAAGTTCTACGAGAAGCATGCAGATTCCCTCCTCCTCGTCCCTAGCCGCCACCTGCCCCGCCAGGATGATGCAAATCCAGCAGGCCACAGGGGAAGAGCGTTCGTGCCATTTCATGCTGCTACCGCAGGTGGTTCTTATCAGCATGACTGCAAAATGCGTCAATTCGCAGGTTTAGGATGTTGTGGCCGGCCTTGCAGCAATCAGCTTTTTCAGAAGAGTGACAGGAGCCCACGCGCACAGAGACACGCACACATGTGCAGGTCTCCAACTGAGAATCACAATATTGGACCTTCTTACACACCTGAAATTCCCAAGACTGAATGCATTCTCTCTCGATTGAGCACACATTTAATTTTCTTTACGCTCTTCAGTGGTATGAGTCGGTATGAGACTCAGTGCATCTTGCTCCAGCAAATATAGCCGGTACATCTCTTGGCTTCCCGAGAGATATCAGTGCCTTTCCAGAGCCTCTTTGTTAGGCAACCACTCTGGAAGGCAGGTTGCCCCCCTGCTGAACACTGAGCTGTCTCATCCTACAACACAATCCGTAGTCACAGGGGACACACACACACACAGACCCACCCACCCACCTGCGCGCGCGCGCTGAAAGGCTATTCTCCCAGTCACGCCTTGTCTTGCTCGCGCGAAGCGGCTGTGACACAACAACTTCGACGGCGCAGGCTTCTCTCGCCGACCGCGTGCTGTCAGACAGCAAGAAGCTCTTGCTGGGAGCACGGAGCTCAGAGTGCACAGGTTCGCAGTACTCTCAGTCGGCCCTCAGTTGGCCGCATTCGCAGTCGGTGTTGACTCGCTTGCATCAAGTCGACCGTGGCATGGCAGCCGGGCATAGCCTGGCAATCCTTTCAGATCTCAACAATAGCAACCAGCAAATGATTCAGATATACTGGTAAGTCCGCGTATGATCTTTCAGTTGGAGAAGGAGGCGGCATCTCCGTTTTGTCTCGTTATGTCTCATGGCTGGTTGGGCTCTAGGAACCCTCGGTCGCTGCAGGCACACGTTCTCGCGCGACCTGAAGAGATTGCCGCTTGGCTGGAACCATGTCATTCCGTGCGCAGACCGGGCCCCAGCAGCCCCCGCCAAGGCTCAAGCGCACGGTTTCATCGGTTTCATGGGCGACGTGCGGCTGACTTAGACATACATTTGCAGACTGAAGCGACTCAAACAGGTGCAGTCTCCGAAGTCATTGCAGGGTCCAGGGTGTCTTGTCTCTGCTGCGAAGTGAGGCGTATCTTCCGTGCTTCCCCTGATGGCAGCACGCTGGCCGGCGGCTCGAAAAGGTCCCCAGAGCCCCTTTGGCAAGGGTCCGTTCATTGATCTCTCTCCCCTCAATGCCAGAATGCTCTGCCAGAGTAGAAAGGAAGCTAAACAGAAACTGCATGCATGCACGCATGCATACATACATACATACATACATACATACATACATACATGCATACATACATACATAAACATGCACAGCCGAACCATGAATGTGAATTTGTATCAAAACACAGAACCTAGTAGGATCTGAAATCACGCAACACGGCTTAAACGATCGCCAACACGTCACAAAGACATGTAGAGTGTTCTATGCATGTCTTCATTCCGTTGAATATGTATAGACATCCAGGTAGACATCGATATTTAGTTTTATACTCTAGCCTGTGCAGGATACATCCATACAGTCATGCATGCATACATACATGGGTACAAACAAAGAAACACACGTACATATCTGTACAGGCGCATATCAAGCGGGTAACCCCGGCCAATTGGTATCCATTGGTGACTCCAGGTCCGGTAGCCCGGACAGTCTGAGGTCAACTTGTTGTCTTGCAGCTCACAGGACGCTACCACAGTGGGACTGCATGGGACAAGGGTGCCTGGGATCTCCTGAGATTTTTTGAACAAGCTTTCGATTTACAGCTGTGCATGTAGTGTACATGACGGATCATCTGCAGGATGTACTCAGCGGCAGTGCAACAACATGTGGCTCTCAAGCTGCCCGGCACTCATGACCATTTGGAAGCGACTGTTTTGTCAGTCGTCACAGGCTAGTAGCAAATCGAGAGTCTGAAGAGGGAAAGACAAGAGGCTGTGTCACAAGAGGCTGTGTCGGTGATGGTGCAGTTCCAACAGGGCAGTGAGCTACAGCCTCAGACGCTGACATGTGGCTGTAGACTCTACCATGCATCGTGTTCCGGGCATTGTAGTTCCATCAGCTGACGTTCAACTTCATGTTGCTTGTTCCCTTATAGAAAGGCTGAGTTTCGAAAGGTGAGCCGGCACCAACTGCTGCAAGCCAGGTCCATCAACTCTATCACGGGAACGCGGCTGCAGCCACATCTGACCACTCGCGGTACGATGGGTACAGCCGGCCTGGTTGGACTGTCCTAAGTACTTCCAATCCAGGAGAATCGAGGTGCGTTCCATTGCAGTAGGGCAGCCTGAAAGCTGTGTGTCGGGCTGGCTCGCAATCCTACCTGTGTCCTACTTCCAGTTATTTCTGAGTCCACCGGCAAGGGAGCTATATAGCTGCATTTCCTTAGATGCAGGCATGTCGCCCTTGCCTCGAGACAGTGCTTCGATTGAGGGGCCGCTGCCTTTCGTTTCCAAGATGGCATGCAACTGAAAGCTCAATTTGCCTTTTTGCGTCGTGCATCGAGTCCCATAGCGGGAAGTCAATCGTCAAGCTTGCCTAAAGCACCGCTAGGTCACTAGGTCGCCAATGTGGGCATGAAGCCCATATCGTCGTGTGCCAGGAGAAGGTCAGCCAAACCCGGTCCCCATCGTTGCCTTTGCTGACAAGTCGGGAGCCTGCAGCGTGCCGTCAGCTGTGTTACGAAGTGCATCTGTGAGACCAGCCCCGTGCCGAGGGTCCTCCACCCACTTCTGCAGAAGCCCCCGGTGCAGCTCTCAGAGAGGCAATGCCAGTCCAGCGCTTGGCCTTCCCTCCCAAGCCTGAGGCAGAAAGCATCGTGACGCTGCCGGGCACAACTCTGGACCGCCGCTCATGTCAATGTGCAACACAAAAGCGGAGCAACTTTCGAGTTTGGTCTAGAAACGCGTATGTTTTTGATGGCGATAGACTGGGGAGCTCCGGCACATGAAGCATGAGCCCGGACATCATGTATGCTGGCAGGACCCAGAGGCTTTGCGGAAGACATGGCCGAAGGAGTTTTCATTGGGAACTGGCTTCGTAATCCAGACATAAGTTCATAGGCTCATAGGGTTCAGGCTACCGGTTAACCTGTTCGTATTCCTTTCCAAGTCCCAGATCAGATCCACAAACCGACTCGTAGCTCCTCACCAAGACATCTCGTGGTCTGCTCAATACGCTCCCCTTGAAAAACAAGGTCCATACAAAAAGAGTGGTTCCAATCAAGGAGCCCTGCTTCGAGAACTATCCAAGAGAAGGCCCTATAAATCATTTATCCCTGTTTTCCCAATTCCCTTAGTGTGGAGCCTTAACAAGAAGACTCGATGTTTTGGGGTATAAGGCAACCGAGGAAGAGCACCCCTTGAGGAGTGGCTGCTGCGCTTCTCCGAGGCTGACCTGGCAAACTCACAGGCCGAGGCGGACGCTTGGGCGCGGCGCCCAGAGGGTGTTATTCGGGGCGTTATTCGAAGGGTTACTTTGAGGAAAACAATAGGGATGATGCGCCATAAGGTTGAAATGAGGGTTGCTAAAAGGATTCGTTTAAGGGCAACGAGAGTCTACAAGGCTCTTCAGCATCGGCCATGCCCAAGTTGCAGTTGGGTAGCTTTGTTGGTACACAAGATTTCGGCGAGTATGGTTCAGGGATGTTCAGGGTGAATGGAGACGTCGGGCTTGTCGGTGATGTCAAGCCAAGAGTACTTGGACGAGCCGTCGGCGTTCTCCTGCAGTGTGTGGTGCCGCGTCCGGCATCCCGCAAGGCCTCGGAGGTCAGAGCCGCGATGCAGTTCACCTGGAAAGGCTACAGGACTCCGGGCTGGGCTTGAAACTTCAGGTCTTAGGTTGACAAGAGTGCATCTAGCCGGATGACGCATTGTTTGGCCGCCTGTACGCAAAGCACTGCGCAGCTTAAGGCCGAAACCATGCGCATGTTCACGACGCGCCTTGCACACGCAGGGACAAGGCGTGGGGCCACGACGAGGTGATGCCGGCCTCTGGTCGGATCAAGGCTCCAAGTGTTTGCCGGCATGGGTTTCTGATCTGCGCTGGCGTGATGGTCAGTGTCCTTAGGAATCGTGGCGCGAGAGTACTGGTAGCTGGAGCGGCAATCGGAGTTAATCGTAGTAACACCCACCTTCATGTTCAGCCATCTTCCAGAAGCCAGCGGTGACCTGGGTAAGAGCTGTCAGGATTGGTGCAAGATGGCACGGCACCCAGCGGGTCTACAAACTGGTGCACTGATCACCAGCCTCTGAGTCAGGATCTTGAGAGTTGTACTGTCTTGTGGGTCAAGCTGGGCAGTAAGGGCAGCAGACGGGTCCCTTGTGAAAAAAAAGGCTGAATAATAGGACTTAGGCATTGTTCTTGTATGCTGCAATGCACCGTCTGCGAGGCCATCACCATGCTTGACGGTCTGTGCAGCTCTTAGAAGACGCTGTCAGTCATGTTCCTCGACATGCACATGCGCGGAGGTATGCGTGGGGGAGTAACCCCGTCTACCGCCCATGTGCCCATCCGCCTGCCCGCCCGCCCGTCCCCGTATCCATCTACGCTTCCACGTTTAAACAAATGCACAACATCAGACAACTTACACACGAATGACGTATATATGCTACCTACACACGACAATCAATAATTGCTAGGTCGCAAGCTAGGAAGCTATCAAGCAATCAAATAAACAAAAAGACAGATATACACATGCACACACACACA